TCCAAGCCCTGAGAAGTACAAGCAGGCCATGCAATACCAAATCCATTATAAAAGTCCAGGTGGCCATGTTCAAAGCAAGAAGAACCTAAAACTCTGGGTTTTCTGGCCAGAGATGCTAGTTTATACATTAATAAAGTTCATAGTAGATTTTTTTCCTAAGATTTTCAACAAGCAAACTTCCTAGGTAAATGAGAAATACCTTCGAGAACATGGCTCAGCATGGCCAGGGATTTCATCTATGAGCTAGGGATTTCAACTATGAGGAGATGGTGAGAAAGCCCGGACAACCATAAATATTGGAACAGCAACTCTTGGAAACCAAAGCTTTCTCAAGACCTCAATAAACAAAAGGTTAAAAGGCTAATTCTACAATTGCAGGTGCATTGGGATGTGGCAAGAAAGAGCTTGGAAACTAAAACAGCAGCATTGGAAAGAACCCCACGTGACCCTCTTCTTTGATCCTAAAGATAGAATAGTCCCTACCTAAAGTTGGGGGAGGGCTGTGAGGGAGACTATAATGGAATTCAAAGCAGTATGCTTGGTAGAAATGCAGGCTATTTCCATTTTCAAAATATTCTAGTCTGGATTTATTAAAATAAAACTAAATTAAAAAGAACAAGGCTAAATTCAAGCTTATGTTTTTGTCTTCATGACACTAAATAAACAGATTTTAGTGAACTCTCCCTTTTTAACTCATTGGTTGGTATTGTATAGATGCAGCCAGCATCTAATATGCTTTCAATTGTGTCTTCAGCCCTCAAGACCCTGGGGGTCTGAAATCTCAGCCAACTTTGCAATTTAATCCAAAACCCAAAGCAGTTCAGATTCCAAGTAACCTGTTACCCTCTGCTAGCAAAACATCACTGGTGGTTTGAAAAAGGCCATTTTTAATAACCCCTTTTCAGTTTCCTGGCAGGCCCCCAGCTTTACTTCAAAGTTGATTTTCCCCAGTGAGAGTACAGCTGGAAGAATCCAGAAGTGCACTGTGCCATGCTTCCACTACCCTAGGCTTCGAAGGCCCAGCTCTAGGGCACTGAAGAGGACTGAGATTGAAAGGCAGGCAGGGGGCTGGGTAGGCTGTGGCTCCCAGGGAAATTGCCTCAGCTAGGGCCTTCCCAGAGACAAAACAGCACATTACCCATAACAGTGAACAACTACAGGTACTGAATCCAAAATGAATTTTGGAATTGTATCACTTTGGCTTATTTTTAAGTAAATTTGATAATAATAATAATAATAATAATAATAATAGAAACCATTGTAATTTGGGCTGCCTCTTGAGTGTTTTGGGGAGGTGGTTTTCATTGTCCATTCATTCATTCATTCATCCATTCATTCATTCATTCATTCATTCATTGGTTATTGTTTTCTCTCAGTAGCCCATTCTTTAGATGTCACACAATAAGATGCCAAGAAAACAATCTGAAATGAGACACTGGAGGCAGGCAAGGAAGCAGGACTGACGAAGACAAGTGCAGACTGAGCTAGCCTTAAACTCCAAGACAGTAGCCTTCAAGTCCCACATTTTCTCTTGTGTTTCCTGCCCAGGACTAGTGAAGTTGGGGTTGCCAGTAAAATGACCACTCAGCTCAAAACGTCTCATTTAAACTCCAAGTCTTCTGAAAACAGTGGAGAAGGATTAAAGCCAGAAAGTGCTTTCTAGTACAAACACTAATGCACTTTTACAAGGCAGGTAAAGCCCGAAATTATGTTACTAATTAATTTTATATTTCCTCCAACTACCTAGAACCAACTACAGCCCAATATTCCCCAATTGGGATTTTGCCAAGAATTCAGATAATGCCATTTATGGACCATGCCAACAGTTGAGGTCATGCTTTCTGTCTCAAGAGGAAAAAGCAATAGGGAGGAATTCATGGAAAGTACATATTGGGGGGAGACAAAAGGGAGAGAGGAAAGAGACAAGAGGTAAAAAATCTCTCTATAGCAACCAAGCCCAAACAGACACACAGAGCAGAGGCAGCCCAAGAGGCTTGCAGTTGTACAATTTGTGGGTAAGCATGAAGCAAAACAGCCTAAAAGAGAGTTTACAGGGAAAGCTCAAGAAACAGTACTGTGAAGGTACAGAAGCAACCCCTCCAGAACTGTGAAGAGAATCAAAAGACCTGGTGCCTTACACCATGGCTGCTGGCAAAGGCTTTCCTTCATGCATGCCCGGAATGTGAAGTACTTGCCACTTGCTACAGGGTTTGGTGATTAGAAGTGAGATTTTGTTTCAAAATTCAAGACTATCAGGACTCGAGAGAAGCTCTAGAATCTGGATAGCTCTTTGGATTTTATTCAGACTAAATGCCCCTATTGTAGAGATGAGAAAAGCAAGGCCCTCGATGGGAAACCAGCATATCTGAGTGTTACTATTAGCCCCTGAGAAAAGACTGGCGCCCAGCTGCCAGCTCTTCATGTTGAACATTTCACAGTTCCAAAAGTAAATGAGAAAGGCAGGACTGTACAGATTATTCCACAAAGTTAAAATTTCTAATCCTGATGTTGTATCATCTCTTTCTTTTTAATGTCAAATATCTTTTCTTTCAGCAAATGATGACCCCAGAAAGTAACCATTGTTTTAGAATGTCTTCTGTATTTTATAATATAACCAGTAGAACTAATAAATTAGAAGCTCCACGTGACACATCAGTATTTGGGGGCAAATATTTGGCATGTAAAAACATTAATCTAGTCCAGTCCCCTGCCGCATATCACCAGTCTATCCAAGTTCTCATTTGAGCATAAGTTTGGAATCCATTGAAAATGCCACTGGAGTGTTAGGCATGGAATAGTGCAATTGAAATAAGAAGGTTTGGCTGGGATGTTTGTAGAGAGTGAACTAGGGAAGAGATGGGATGCTTGGAAGACTGTGGGGAAGCAGGCTGCCTTGGGCTCAACCTCTCAGCCTGTTTGGTTTTGTTTTCTGTTGTTGTGTGATGACAACTTCAAATTACCATTACATCCTGCTTTAATGGCCAATATCTCTGCTACTATATAGTTATGTTTTTGATTTGGAGTTGTTTTTAAATTTTCCTCACGAGGGAAAAAAGTCATAATACTCATTTTCCATGTAGTATGTTCTTTGTCTAGATGTTTAGAGAGGTTACGGGACTTACTTGAAATTACATGGTTCTTCCAGGTTGGGCTTCATTGTAGATCTAAGTCCTTCCTCTAGCCCTCATGCCTATCGCGTGTATGTTAACTTAGCTTCTTAGTATGATCCATCACTGGGTGGCACTGCAAAATGTGCTATCAACACTCCCTGCTCTCCTCCCTCCAAATGCTGAGAAGCACCACTCTGCATACCAGAGCCAAGAAGCACCAGGCTTCAGGTCACAGAAAAATTACAGACTTGCTGAGGGTTTAAAGATGTCTGCCTCCTGACCACTCACTGATGTGATCTGTGGGAAATCCATGCCCCAGTTGTCCTATCACTGCAGCTGCCCTGTTGCTATCGTTTCCAGCCAGATAAAGGCCAGAACAGGAAACCTACATGTCAAAATACATATCCACTATAATCATTGCTATCAAATTCTCCTGATCCTTGTTGGGATGGCACAACTAAAGGATATGTTAGGAATATGTTTCCTCCTAGGCACCACTTTGTACTACTCAAGTAAAAGTCAATGTGATCATAGAAAGGGATTTAGCCATTAATCTTAACCAAGAAGAATTTCAAAGATAGAATAAATAATACTGGCCAAAAACCCCACAATATTCCAAATCCAAAGCTGAATACCTCCTAGGCACCACCTTGTACTACTCAATTAAAAGTCAATGTGATCATAGAAAGGGATTTAGCCATTAATCTTAACCAAGAAGAATTTCAAAGATAGAATAAATAATACTGGCCAAAAACCCCCACAATATTCCAAATTCAAAGCTGAATGCCTTTGAGATTCTTGTTCAAAACTGCGACTAGGGTTGTTTCTAGTTGGGATCCTAGCTGTTTATGGTGATATATATATATATATAATTTTCCCATTTATGTGGGGAAGAATCACATTACATTTTTAAGTGAATACAAAAATGGCCTCTGGCTCCTGGTGAGTTTGACAAGTTTCAGGACTCTGACTCAGCAAAAGTACTTGAAGGGAAGATCTAGTAGTCACCTAGATGTGGCCCAGACAGAACCTGCACCATTTTCAATATAGCTTTTGGGGAAAAAAGTTGAACTCATATCTATCTCTGGGCAGGCAGGATCCCAGTACAGATTATAGATCTGGCCCATCAACAAATCTCTCAGACACTGGTGAAATAAAACAGGACATGGGGGCTTTGGGTAAAACAGTCAGCTTCTGAGACTCACATGAGAAAGTTAATATGGTGGTAATGAGCCACTTAAATGCCTGTCTGCCTATGTTACAATAACATGCCCTTTCATTCCTTCCAACAGCTCCCAAAGGACACTGTGGACAGCCATGTTTCCTGACTACTTACCTCCCACTCCACAAGCAAATCCTTCCTACCTCTCCCAAAGTTTCTTTTCTTTTATATTGTATATTTATCATGAGTTTTCCTTCTCTTAGTGCCTTTTACAATTTTTCTCTTTATTCTCTTAATTTTTTTCATTGCTGCTAAGAATATTTTCGATTCCTCTCTTTATTATATTTCCTTGTTCTTCATGTTCTATTTTTGATAATGTTTTTCTTGTTCAGTAGACTGTACTTTTACTCTGTTTTTGATGAGTTTTGCTTTGTTGTCTTATGGGGTTTGTGTTTATTTCTTCTGTTTTTTGTAAAAAGAAATGGGGTTTGGTTAAATTTTTCTTTGCTTTGCTTTTTTTCTTTCCTTTGGTTTTAATTGCTCTCTCTCTCTCTCTCTCTCTCTCTCTCTCTCTCTCTCTCTCTCTCTCTCCCTCTGTGTGTGTGTGTGTGTGTGTGTGTGAGTGAGTGGTTTTTGTTGTTGGTGTCTGTTGGTGTTTTTTGTTTTGTATTTTTGTTTTCCTTATTAGGGGGCTTGCAGGCAGGTGAAAAGTTGTTTTTACATTTTTTGGTAGTTTTTTTTCTTTAAAAATTCCTTTATGTTGTTTGCTTTAATTTAAAAAAATCTTTGTCTCTTAGCCATCTGTGGTGGTGCACCTTGGTAATCTTGGCACTCAGGAGGTGGAGGCAAGGAAATGATGTGTTCAAGGGCAGCATGACTTACACATCATCTTATCTCAAAAAGGAAAGAGATAGAGATCCACTTCTCTCTCCTCCTCCACCATTGTATCATGTTTTTTCCTTTGTCTTTAAACTTGAAGCAGAATCTTTATTTTAACACAGTTTTAGATTTAGAGATGTTACAAAGATGGTACAGAGGATTCAGCATCCTCAACACCTGGCTTTCTCTACTACTAACATCTCTCATCCATGATACATATTTTTATACATTTTATTATCTATCACGTCTTAAGTAAAATCAGCTCTCTATTCAGATGCCTGTAGTTTCTATCCGATGTCCTTTCTCTATGCCTGCATCCCATCTAGGATCCTACAATAACACTTCTTGCACCTCCCTAGACTCTTCTTGCTTGGTCAGTGGTCTGACTTTTCATTGTTTTCGATTATATTGATAGTTCTGAGGCATAATGGCTAGGTGTTTTGCAGAATGGATCTCAGCTAGCACTCAATGATGTTAACCTTAGTCTTGTGCTTGTTGTATTTTTCCACTATGAACTGACTTTGCCTTTTATTCTGGACTCCATTTTTTGGAATCAAATCCTTGCTAGGGATGGAAAGGTTCAAGCTCCACCTTCTGGAAGATGGCCAGTGCCACATTATCCTGTTGTTCCTGTTCTTTCAGACTGTCTTTCTGTTTCCTTGTCATGACCCTTCCATATGTTTTTCACTCATTTAACTTTCTAAGATCATTTCCTTTTATTTTTCTTTGACACTTGTTTGCTTTGTTTTTCATTTCTATTTGCTTTCCTCTATCTCCCTTTACCATCCTCTTCCCATCCCCCTCTTTACCTTTTGACATTCTCCCTGGTTACATTTTATACCATTTATATTTCCATTTGTTTTAAAATAATTGTCTCATAATGTTTTCTTGGATAAAGAAATTAGTACACACTAAACAACTAACGTATCTTACATAGCTAAGAGAATAAAATGAAAATTCAAAAGAAATAAGGTTCCCTCATTCTCATCCTCTAAGTCTCACAATATTGTTTGTCATCTGCTAAACTTCACACAACTCTTGAAAGCTATGTCCTATCCCAGAACGACCAACAGACCCTGTGTTATAAGTTCTAAGAGTGTCTAACTCTGATCCACTCATGGTCATAGTCATTAAACTGAAATTTGCATGGAAAATTAAGGTGATACTTGCATGTTTAATACCTTTCTTAAATATAAGCATCCACATTAAAATCACTTTAGCCAGTTATGAATAAAGAAGCTGTATCCTACATGGTCCTTTCCTAGATATTTTTAGCTCTTAGCATCAGGAGCATGTGAGTGCCTGAGTGTGCCTGAGTGTGTGTGTGTGTGTGTGTGTGTGTGTGTGTCTGTGTCTGTGTGTGTGTGTGTGTCTGTGTGTGTGTGTGTTCCACACTCAGTGGCAACTAGGAACTAAGGATAAGAAGTGAGTTGGAGCCTGGGGATAGGGGAAGACGGCTTTGTGAGAAGTGTATATGCATGTGGCAAGAAGGCCAGTAAAGCCAGTAAAGTTGCTGATTACTTTGCTCTTTTGCACTCTAGGTTCCCTGAGTGAGAAAAACAAGAGGACAGTCTTTTCTGACAAGCCCTGCATAAAGAGCTTGTTTTAGGTGTAACCCCCATACAGGAGTTTGGCAGGGCTTGGGGTATGTGTGAATTCGATGACCTCTATGATCTCTTTCTGATGATAAGCTCAGTCCCCTGGGGATTTTTGTTGTTGCTGTTAATTAAGACTGACATAAGGAGACATTGAGCTAGGGCAAAACTAGATTACTTTGGGAGCTGAAGAAAGGCAAGAATATCATTCTAGCTCCTACCAGAGCCCTTCTCTTCCTGCTCTGTTTCATTGTGGTGCTATGTGTTTAGAAAAGAAGCCAGGAATAATTCTATAGCATGATGTGTCCCATCCATCTAAGCCCAGTCAGAGCTGGATGGTGCCGGAAGTCCACAACCCTGGCCTAAAAAGCAGTTTACTAACAGTATAGATCAAGTCTATATTGTCACAGAGCAGATCTTCCTATCTTTTCTTGACTCTATACAATAGTCACAATTATGTACTGGCACTGGGCAAAAGACCATGTGACTTTATCTTCCTTCAATGTGGTATTAATTTTCACCAGGAAAAAAAATGGTTAATGGAAATCGGGCACTTAAGGTGGTAAGGGACAGTTTTGCCTTAGGGCAACACATAAGGGTTTGATTTTCTTTGAATTTTCAACCTGATTCTGAGGTTAGCAGTAACTAGTATAAGGGCAGTGCAAATACATGAGGTGAAGCCCTCATCCCAGAGCCAGCAGAACTCACTGGCTCAACCACACAACAGTTTTCAACACTCCACATATCGAAGGGCTTTTCAACAATGTGGTTCTCATCCACAGAGAGCAGGTTGAGCAAGTCTACTATGCAAAGTAAAGCTCAAACAGGAAAAGTAATATTGAAATAGAGGACACATGAAAATGGTTCATAAGAATGATGGAGTTTCTGCTTTTATGGTTCATTCCTTGTGTACAACAGAGGAAGAAGAGATGTTTACAAGGGCAGATGGATATGGGAAATGTTCAGAAGGCCTCTACACAACCATCTTTGAGACTATATAGACCATTGTTGCTGTTAGTTCAAGCATTGGGAATTCCCTAGGCTGAACCTAGGAAAAAAATCAAAGACACCAAAAATACTGATACAGTAAAGTATAGCTAACTAAGAAAACTTGACCTTGAGAATGTAAAGTACTTGCTTTAAGGGAACCAATGACTTACATCACAGGAAGTAGCCATAGAGATATGTTAATTATCTTCAAGCCTAACTATAATAAGCAATTCCCAAAGACTATCAATTACAAATTACAGGGTGATTCTGAATTTATAGGAGAAAGAGGCTGTAAGCTATACAAGGAAGTTAAAGCAGGAAAATGTTAAAATATAAAAAGAATTAACGGACTTCATATGTGACCTTGAAGGAAAGGAGCAGCATGGCAGTAGGAAAGATGAAGAGGCACAGGAAGTGCTATACCTGAACACACAACAGTTGTGCTGATTTTCAATACTAAAATTGAGATTGCAATGAACCACAAAGGGAGAAATAACTCTTTTGAATGGCCATACATATACATAATTTTCATAGGTGATAGTAAATGAACTAATATAAGCATTTATAGGATGTAATTGAAATGGGATATTTCTTTTAAAATAAATACCCAGCCAGCCAATCCTGATGTTGCTGGCCTGTAATTCCAAGACTAAGGCTGGAGGATCACAAGTTCAAGACCTTTTTAACTACCCGTGGTGGTCAAGTTAATGAGCTACTTGGTTTCAACAAAATGTTACACAAGGTGTTTATACTGCAATGGCAGATATCTGAACAGCTCTGGTTTCATTTCGGTACGTGATGAGCTATCTCTTCAGCCCAGGGAAACATTTTATAAGCTCCTTGTCTCATCTTCCAAAGACAATCGATTTTCCAAGCATGTTCTAGCTAATCATATGCCCTTTTGAAGGCTTCTTCCCTGTCAGAGTTCTTTCACAGCAACATGTAATTTTCACAGCATGTCAGAATCACCAAAAGTTCAGGCAGGCACCAGTCTATTTCATATACATAGGAACCAACTACCAGGAAGAATGCAGCAAGAGATGTTTACAAGGGCACATGGATATGGGAAATAACTCTTTTGAATGGCAAGAGCTTTGAGGATCCAAAACAAACTTTAAAAGTGTACAATCTATAGTTTATAGTCTACACAGACTAAAAATAGATATTTGACACTCTTCATACCCATCTCTTCATCAGAATGGGTTACAAAGATTTGAGTTCTAGTACACTCTTGCTTTGTGTTTACTTAGTACTAAAGTGCTTACTTAGTGGTACTAAAGATTAAGCCTATGGCTTTACACATGCTAGTTAAGCAGTTTACCACTGAGCACCACAATGATTTGTATATGTTCTGAGGGTACCTCACAACTTCATATGTCGACAGTTATTCCCCTTATAATACATTAAGAGGATACAAAATTAATTCAATTATATTGTTTAGACACAAGGCCTATAAGAGATGATTACGTTTACATAAGACCATTATGGTGAGGCTCTCATAGTTGAATTCTGGTAGATTAAGGAATGAGGGAAGCTCAGAGTCCTATACATGCTCCTTGCCTCTTGTCATATGATTCTATATACAGTCTTTGGACCCTGGTTGCAAAGTCAAGGGGTCTTGAGCTAAAGTAGTCTTTGGTTTATAAAGTATCCTGTCTCATGTATTTCATTACACAACAGTAAATGGACTAACTATAGATACTTAGACTTTACAACGATTTTGTTAAGTGATGAAATAATTCATGCAAATAAGCGTGTTAAAACGGAGCCTTCCATGGGATCAGACTATATGTATATTAGCTACTGTCACCATTATAGCTATTGTTTGTTGTGGTTCTGAATGCTGTTGCTGTGAAAGAAAACATCTTAAGAGTTTCTTGAAGCTACTCCATGTTTTCTGAAGTTTTTAATCACAGGTTTCTCCAAAGATGAGAATATTTGTCACTGCTCTTTCTCAAAAAATTGGTTTCCCACCAATTGTTAATCAAAATTGTACCTCAAAAACTCTTCTGGACACACAAACAAGCTTGCTCTCCCTGCCTGCCATTCCTCTCACAGCATTGCCCAAACAAATTGTTTCACATGTCATTACTCACTACTATTCTTGTATAGACCAAGGAAAGGCATGGACAGAGTAGCATGCACCACACTCTCTAGGAATTAACCTAGAATATACTTATTCCTTTGTGTGATTCAGTTTTTCTTCATTCCTAAGCTTCTTGGTGCTTCTGCAGAGTTGCATGTTACTGACTAGCCACAGACAATGTATTGCCTTATCCTGATAGCTAGACCTTTAGGCAGCTGGGACTGTTGGGACAGGCTACTCTACTCCGTAGACACTGGTTGATTTCCATTGTAGCTAGAGTCTTCTATCTCATTCCCATAAGAACCCCGTGAGGAGAAGAAGCCAAGTTCACAGGTGCTCACCTCCTGTTTCAGGTAACAGACAGCTAGGCTATTTACATTCTCCAACCAGCAAATTTTGTCACTGGTATCCACTTACTTTCTCCTAAACCTTAATCCCAAAAATTAATCCTGGACTCCTGGTGTATAATCAGATGGATTTAAACATCCATGGGAAATAAAACCAGAAAGCCCTAACTCCTTGGTTCAAGTATCTTGCTAAAACTACACCATTTATTCATGCCCTTGGACACACCCAGAATCTTTTTGTCATTCCAAACTACCACACCTGTGTCATTCTCTATTTGGTTTTTTGAGGTTTTTTTGTTATTGTTGTTGGGTTTTGTTTGTTTTTAGAGACAGGGTTTTTCTGTGTAGCCCTGGCTGTCCTGGAACTCACTCTGTAGACCAGGCTGGCCTTGCCTCAAACTCAGAAATCCACCTGCCTCTACCTCCCAAGTGCTGGGATTAAAGGCATGCGCCACCAATGCCCAGCCCTCCCTTTTTTGTCATTCTCTATTTGTATACTCCACTCTCTGGCTACTTCAGGCCCCCTGTAAGACCTTTTCTTTGTTTCAATCATTTGCATCTTAAACTGTTGGTTTCTTCTAATTTATCAGACTCATTCAGAATAATTACGTTCTCAAACTGGTTTGAGACCTACAATTCATTATCGCAATCACTGCCCTTTGCATACTCTTAACTGTCTCTTGGTGCCACCTGCAAGTCCACACCCTCATGCTTCAGAAGAGTTCTTCTGGAGATCTTGGCCAGTTTCCACTCTCATCCCCTCTACAACCTGAGACACGACTTTCCATTGCTTACTACCTTAACTCCTGAATCTTCACCCTACCCTTTCTAATGGGAACATTATGCTCAAGCATCTCATTTTTAAGGTAAAGCTTCTCAGCCTTACCTCTCCATTTGCTGCCCCCTTCTCTCCTTTCCTTCCTAAGGTTTTGGAATAAATAGTGTATATTCACTGCCTCTTCCCACAGCGCAACTTGCTTCTGTTTCCTGGGCATATCCTCTTATCACTGTCATTACTGTTGTTATAACTAATCATTCTACTATAGCCACTACTAGAAATAAGGACCTCAAAAGGGAACATCTTGTCTAACTTAGCTATGTGGCCCCAGAGCCTAGCACAGTGCTTGATTGATAGGAGGTGCTCAATAAACGAATTATGTTACAAACACTTACTGAGCACCTACTAGGAACCAAGCACTATATCGGCTCTGTTAGAATCCACAACACTTGGCCCCTAATCCATCACAAAAGCAATGTTCAGGAAGCATTGATTTTCACAGAAACCTCTCTGTGAATGCCCACAGCCACTCCTCACAACAGGCATTCGAATCTTGTTGAATAAGCCTGATAAACCCAGTAGAATCCAAAAAAAAACCTAATTTGAAGATTTTCTCATATAAATGGCCATGTGTATGTTTGTTATGGGGTCTGGTAGCTTACAGAGGGATTTCTGAACAGCCGGAGGGCAACACATTCACTTGCAACTCTATCTTAAAACAGCTAAACTTTACTAAGCTGTGGCATGACCTCTCCTCGGTCCTTTCTTCAGCTTCTCTCAATAAATCTTTGTCTCTAGGATTTTATTCTCCACCTTGAAACCAGTGAAGGTTTCTTGCTCTTCTACTTAATAGTATGAAGAAAATACTAATACTAAACTTACTGTTGACTTCAGGATCCCACTTGACATAGTATGCTTTCCTTTGCCACATGGAGGCTACCTTTGCTAACTCCATTCTGCCAATTAGATCCTATGCCAAATGGTCAGTAAGGATAGAATGTGATATAAAATGGTCAGGGAAAGGGTTTTTGGACAAGGTAGGGGACACTTTGTGATTACAGTTCAACAGATGGAAATGTTCTGGATAAAAATAAAGGTGTGTGTGTGTGTGTGTGTGTGTGTGTGTGTGTGTGTGTGTGTTTTACAGTTTTCTTGTTGGAAGCAGGCAGTAGTATATAATGCAAGAGCAAGAGGTACAGAATTGACTAAGTGTTCTTACTCCTACCAGGTTCTCCTTTTGGAGAGTGATCACTGTTTCTTCTATGCCCTTCTAGAGATGTTGGATACATTTATAAATATTGGCACACCTATATTCTAGTCACTGACTTAGTATGGTCTGAAACACCCTAAGCAGAATGAGCTGATATATAAGTGTTAACAAAGTAGGGAATACTCTCTTTTATCCTATATACCCTTCTTAAGTCTCAACCACTCTTAGTAGCCATTCCCATCCTCCAGGGGAGACAAGTTGCAACTTCTAATCACCTCCTATTGGTACTATGGTTGTCAGTTTGTGGGGTATGGTCATAGCCCATTTCATATACCTTTGGTAGAGTTCTATGAATTAATCTTCCCCTTATCTATCTTTGTATTAGAGTTAGGCCAATTAATAATCCCTATACCTCCACTGTAGCTAGTTTGAAAAAATATTTTTACCTATAACTACTTCTAACCACTTCCATTGTCCATTTGTAACTCTACCTTTCACATAACTATCCTTCATGCCCTCATCGATTCTCATGGGCAATGCTGGAATTTGGAATGAATGCCTACATAGGGCCTCAAGCATATTAGGTAAAATTAAATGGCCTAAGTACTATTGGAGTTCACTAGTACTTAACAAATATTTGCTTCTTTCTCACCTTCTCTCTATATATCCTCCCCCCTTCACCCATTCTCTACATTATGTACATATGTGGCACATCAGATGGTATGCAATTCATGAAATATTTCTTATGTCTTTTCTCTATTGAAATTGGGATCAGTGTATTAGATCATGGCAACTTACCTGAACCCTAGAGGAAAGTACTAGAAAATTCCAGGTATATACATCCCAAAAGAGAACCATTTTCAATGCCTCTTAAAGTCGTTGACTTCAGAGTATAGAGTGGGATCACTGTTGATGCTGAAAAGGTCAGTACTTACCCTGTGTTTCAACCCTAAAATTCTACATATCCTTTAAGACTCAGCTCCTAAGTTGTCTTCTTCTTCTTCTTCTTCTTCTTCTTCTTCTTCTTCTTCTTCTTCCCTTCTAAGAACTGGGACAGTTCATCTATTTTCACAGAAGTCTCAATGAAATTTTTCCTTTCTGTGCACAGTCAAGGGTGAGTCTGTTCTTTCTGGTTTGATTAATAAAGCAAGACTCCATTGCCCATACCAACTCATTATCCCACCTCCTAAAGCATGCCCAACTACATAAGATGTGTGGCTACTGAGGAGCAGGTTAGATGGTTCCCTCCACTTGTATGTACAGGATTACACTTAAAATGCTTTCACCCTGAAATTGATTTATTTTCAATTTGACCTACTTCAGTGTATATGATGTAAGTGTAACTTGATTTTTAACTTTTATGTCATCTACTTTATTTCAATGAAGTTAAAATGTTTTTCATATCATCAGCTATTCTTTGAGAATAATTTAAGGATTTTGTAAGGCTTTTGTCCTGTTTCTATCCACAGTTCATCTGTTCTCCCTCTTAAAGGACTCCTATATTTTTTCTATTTTTGTTTTTACAAGTAACATTATACTAAAGGTGTATACATATGTAGCTGAACATCTGTTTCTCAGAAGACATACTTTGAAGTTCAATTTCTCAGTCATGATGTATTAAAATTTGTACAAGTTTTTGTAGAGGCCACTAGGCCACTTCCTATGATGTCGTGCTGATTTAATCCACTGGTAGTATACAAAAGAATAATAAGATCATTGTACTGTGGCCAGCACAGTTCATAAATCTTTTCTAATATGATAGGCAACAACACTGACCTGTCATTGTTACTCCAACTTGAATTCCTTTATCATTAGTAAACGGGAGAGTTGTCCAATAATGTTAACATGCATGATTTGTTTGTCCCTGTCCAGTCATTTAACCTATGTATTGCTTTAGCTTTCTTTTTGATGAAGATCACATTGTTTCCCTCATAAATTGAAATGTAGTTTATATAATCAGCATGTTTGATAGTAATCATGCTTCTAGTTATTCATAATTGATAACTTTGAGAAAAATCATAGCAAACACTATTCTAGTGGATACTGACCCATTACATAAATCTGATTCATTAACAAAATTACAGCCAGCAGCACTGTCACACATGGCTGAGGCTCATGTGATACCCATAGTATCTGTAAGGGACCTCTCAGACTTCTTACACTTAGAAGCACTCAACAGCACTATGCATGGGGAGTGTTTTGTACAGTGAAATTATCAAAAAAATATGAGAATTGTGACACTTAACACAGCATGCAGAAATTTTTATTTACAGTGTAAGATTGAAAACTAAAAACCATAACTGGGCTTCTACTAAAATCCTACACAGTGGGTATTCAGTCACTGTATTTATCCAAATATGACTGTACAAATATAACAATTGATCTTGGGTTTATCACTAAATTGCACAAAATGGCAGTTTTGCAAATATGCAAATCATGTAAGGACAGAATACATCTTATTATATTATCGTCTGAGTGCCCAGATGACCAATTATATTTAATGTCACTCATGTTTGGTAGTTTTACATTTTTAATTAGACAAACATGTAACTCTTCCCTTTTGTTATTTTATATATTTAGTTCATCCAAAGCTGAAATAATGTAGTCACCTACTTCTTGATATATGTGTGTATGTGCTTTAGTATTCTAAATATTTTCTTTAATAATAGACCTGAAACTTTATTTGATGGACAGTGTGAAATCATTTGGGTAGGTACCAAACTCAAGTCATAATGACCCCAGCATAAGCACTGTGTCCTTCCATCTCTCGGTGCAGGCTCCTTCAAACACGGGTAGGCCAGTTCTGAAATGCATAAGCAATTTCCAGAAAATAGAAAACAAGGAAGAATGGCCTTACCTTTGCTACTCCGTAAACGTGCTGTCTCTTAGGCCACTTCTTAGCTGCATTCTAGGGAGCAGCAGGATAACAGGGAAATCAGAGGCTGATGACTGGCAGGGGCTAAGGTATTAAGGGTGCTGATCTTGCCAGGCCACAAAACGGTATCCGAATTCCCTGAAGTGCTTCTACAACTGATTCTGTGCCTCACTGTGAACCTGTTGAACCAGAACATGGATGACTGGGATCTGATGATCTGGAATCTGCATGTTTTAAATCATAGTAAACTATATAGAACATGAGGTTTACCACTCAATATTTTTAAATTATACAGTTCAGTGGCATTTACCACACTCCCACTGCCTGTAGCTATTCATCCACTGAGCTCTCTCAGCTGCCCAAACTGAAACTTTATACCCATTACACAGAACTCTAATCCTCCCTCCTTCCTCACCAGAATTAACCACTATTCTACTCTGTCTCCTGAATGTCTATATTCTAGGAAACCCATAGTGTAGACCCCTACAGTATTTGCCCTTTTGTGTAAAACCAGGGTTTATTTCAATGAGAAAATGGTTCATGAGAAAATACATCCATGTCTCATGCAGCATAACTTATTTTAGAAAATGTTGCATTGCCTAAGAACCTCTGAGGGTCCAAAAACCCTGCCAGAGAACTCATGGTGTCAAAATTACCTAATACTAAGAAACTATGTGATAGGACTGGAGAGATGGCTCAGAGATTAAGGTTCTTGCAAAGGACTTGAGTTCAGGTCCTATTGCCTACATTAGGCAGCTCACAACTGCCTGGAACTCAGGGTCCAGGGGATCCAATACACTCTTTGGCACTTAGTTATACAAACTTATACACAGATGCATAGACATACAGACACATGCACACTTAAAAATAAATCTTATAAAAGAGAAAGAAATTGCAAGTTTACTCACTCTCCCTCCTTCCCCAAATGAGGTTTCCAGAGGCCATCTCTATGTGATACAGCAAAAGACTGAATGAGGAAGACACTAAGGACAGTTACCAAAAAATGAAAGACCACAACTCGTAGATGTTTTATTTGAAAAACACTGTTTCATTCAAAATAGGTTTTTGTGAACTGTTTTGAATTTTTTGCAACTGTCCTTGAATTAGATTTTTAAATTCTGTTTTCAGTCCTAACATGCTAAATATCAATAGACAATGGGTATACACTCATTTCTTCCTGATTATGGGTATAAAGTAGGGATAAATACCCTACAGACATTAACACAACCCTAGGCTATGTTTATTTCAGGATCAACTAGGTAACTTAATGAGACCCTCTCCCAAAACCAAAATAAAAAGAAGTGAAGTTGTGGCTCAATGGTAGCACTTGTATAGAAAATACAGGGCCTTTGGTTTGATACACAGTTCTGAAGAAAAAGTAGTGTATGTAAAACCAAATTGAAAGCCAAGTATGATGCCACACACTTGTAATCCCAAAACCCAGGAGGCTGAGGCAGGATGATTACAAGTTAGAGGCCAACCTGGGATATATAGCAAGTTCAAGGACAGTCTGAGATACATAAAAAAACCAAGACTCATATGAGGGCAGGGTTTTTTAACCTTCTTTACAACAAAGGACACCCAGATTGGCTCAGAATTGGCCTTATAAAAAGATTCCCAGGTGAAGCTCATGAGTGTCAACACCACAGCATATCATAATGACTCAGGAAGATAGTATGATGTGCTGCTAAAGTCAGGGAATTTAGCTCTAATACATATACAAATATATGTAAGGTTGTATTGAGCCACAAAACAAAACTGAACTATTGAAGTCTTAAGATACACCAATAAGAGGACAGTGTCTGGAATGACGGAGATGGTGGCTTTCCTTTTTAGGTTTAGCTTTAAAGTACCTTATACCAAGAGTGAAAAACAAAACAACATAAAACAAAATACTCTGTGTCCTCAAAAGGACAAATGATCTAATAAGGAAGCTGGAATCCAAGACAAATGCAGAATTATTAAACATGTTAAGTCTGGAGGCTAATATCTAGAGCTATCAAGCATGGATGAACAGCCATCTTGTGGAACAGATTCTTCTGCTTAGGTGAGGCCATGTGTAGGCCTCATGAGGCTTTTTGTACAGTCCCCTGACTAGTAATTCTTGTTATCAGTTTATCTAGAAGCAGACATTCTCTGAGCTTCAGCCCTTCCCTGATTCCCTCTGGACTTCTCCAGTCACCTCCAACTCCACAGGAATAGAATCAAATTGTTAGTCCTACTTTTACATGTAAAGAACTTGGGGCCCAGGAGAATCTTAGTGGATTTCCATCTGGGCTTTAGAAAAGGAATTAGTTCCAATCTGGATGACTCTGAAGTATAGTATCTTTATGTTTCTATGATGCTAGTTTATATAGTAATCAGGAAGAAATGAAAATACTACCTTACAGACCTATATTGTAGTAAGGTTCACAGGGGAATAGGTATTGCCTCGAAAGCAAATGGGCTCAAAGCCTAAATTTTCTAGATTATATTTAAAAATTAATTTCTGGCACAATCAGGGGCAAAATCATTACATAGAAAAACTTGGAGAGGTCCCTGTCCCTCTCTTGACCACACTTCCCTAATTTTTAATGGGGAGGTCTCCATGTCTTCTTACAAATGTGCCCTTCCAAGTGTCTATAGAGGACAATGTTCTGGGGAGGTACAGACATTATGAATAAGTACTCATGCTATTTGGCTGTGTAATAGCTCAGCTGTGTTCCAACCTCATCCTCCAGGACCTGCTGAGCTACAGGCTGATCATATATCTTCACAATACTCTCATCAACTCCAGGCACCCAGCCCAACATGACGTACTTGTGCACAGTCCTGATGCGCCTCTGGCAATATCAGCATGTTACTCAACTGGAGAAGTGATCAGGTGAGAATGAAAACCCTGAGCACATGCAGTACCCCTCCCAGCACTCAAGAGTCTGATGCATCCCCCACCCCAGGTTACTTACTAGCTGCATGGCCTTGGACAAGTCACAGAAGCTCTTGGAGCCTCAGTTTTTTCATCTGTGAAAAGAAGAAAAGGGGTTAACACACAAGGTTAGGGGTGCTGTTCGACTGGTAGAGTACTTCCTTGGCATGAACCAAGACCAGAGTTCAATGCCAGCACCAAATAAACCAATTAGTTGGTGACACAGATCATCACTTAAGAGCAAAGGTCGGAGGATCAGAAGTTCAAGGTCATCCTCGGCTACAAAGCAAGTCTAAAGTTAACCTGGTAACATGTTAAAAATGGTTAGTAATATATAATTTGCCTAATTGTTACGAAAATCCACATCTTTGGCTGAGTCAGGCCAGCCAATGTCCCATTGTGCACCAGCCAAAGAATATTCAAAGAACTAAGGCTGCATCTGAGGACTCACAGCCTCAGTCACTAGGACAAATCAGGTGCCTTGTGCTTCCTGCTACCTGAGTCAGAAGTTCCTTCTGACTGAGCTTCTCCAGTCAGCTCTGTAGCAACTCTCACCCATCACTCTCATTCTTGGGGTGAAATTGTACAGATAAAACCTTTTTTGTCATGACAAGTCTAAAGATGTCAGGAGACAACAATCCTGTCCTAGTCACCCACTAGGCTCTTTTTCTCCATCTTCATTTCATCTTGTTCCCTTTTTAAAGACAATATAACCAAGCCCAGTACTTGAGGTTTGGTTCTACAAATGCTGGTCAGAATAAAAACAATCAATCTACTCCTGCAATTTTAGAGCCTACACTATCATTAATATAACCTGAATTTACATTGACTTTTCCTCCTTAAGCATGGATTCATCCTCTAGAATTGTAAATTTTTTAAAAAGAATTTTGTCTGCTTTATAAACCAAGCACAAAATGTCACACTTGCTCTTATCAAATTTATTTTGTTATTGTTGGATTATCTTTGTGTTCTAGTAAATTCTTTATAGATTCCTAGTTCTGTCTTCCCACCTCAAGAGTGTGCTATTCTATAGCTCCACCCAAGACAGGAACTAAAATGAAGAAATCAAGCCCAAGCCAGGTAAAGCACTGCAGCCTACTGCCAAAGATCTCTATAATGGTGAAATCCGACATTTTCCCTAGCTTGCTGTGCCTGAAACCTTGCAGTCATTCATTTCCACCATCACAGTGGCTCATACAGCATTTTAGAGTCCCAGGAGGGGCAGGCCTTTTGATAAAAAGCTGAACTAGGAGAAAAGCCTTTCTCCATGTGCTTCTGTTAATTCCAAAGAGAATGGGTCCTCATCCTCCATACTGAGTAATAATTCTTACTCCAGGAAAAATACAGACAATAAGTGACACCCTTTGTGAATGGTTTCTTCACATACATGGGTGGTTCTGGGAAGAAAATAAGTAATGTATGTTAATCATCCATCATGTTGAGTACATAGTAAATAATCAATAAAAGATTAATTTAAAAAGAAAAGACCTATTCAGATCTAACTAGAAGAGCAATGCTGACTCATAGATCCTCCATCTTGTTCAGAGAGCACCACATCAAAAAGCTTCGTCATGCTCTTCTTGTCTTATGGACGGACATGTTGTAACCATCAAAAAGGCCACATTTCCTGGCTCCCAATTCTGACCATATAACACAGTTCCCCAGTGGGAATATTGTGGCTAACTACACTACATTGATTTTGTTTTCAAACTGAAGCTCTGCTATTCCTCCTGTCCTTCCCCTCAGGCAAGAATGGCAGCATCAGGACAGCCACATTAGCAACAGCCCACATCACTGCCCTTCCAATAATCCTTTACCTGATCGTGCTTTTTACAGGGACAGTAACAGAACTCAGGCAAGATGACCAAAGCTGGTCTTGAAATCAGGTAGTTTTCCACATTTGTATGGCTAAAGAGCAGATTGTGATACTCCATAATCTCTGACACGATCCCCAGCTCCCCCACTCTAGCCTCTCAAATCTTGGGCCTCCATGGCTCATGATGCTGCATACCATGTCACAAAGCCTCCAGTCACCACAGGTCCAGGGTGAAGTCAAGGAAGAAGTGAATCTGGAATCCAAGAAATCTGTGAGTGTGCAACATCAGAACACATTTTACACTGGGTTTCTCCAGTACTGCTTGGGTAATAATCAACAAGTTATTATAGAAACAGCAAATAGTCACATATATGCTTTATAGTCTGTAAGCATCTCCAGTAAATAATTTTCCCTTTGATTCTCAAAATAGTCCAGTGGTCTCATTTGTGGAAAAGCATTGCTAAAGATAATTTAGAAAAAAAATTGTATCAAGCTAAACTATGCGCACATACACATACACAAAAATAATCTCTACCACACATTCCAGATCAATAAAAAAATAAAAAGGTTGGATGTCAGCTATATTGCCCCCAAAGACACAAAACTCTAAGGTTCTTATCTTTTAAAGAAGACTATAAAATATCATAACAAGTCTTTAGGAGGTTAATTTACTCAAAGTTCACATTGCAAATAACAGGAATGATACTCAAAGCCTGGGTTTTCTGACTCTAAACCTTCTAATTTTTCCACTTCAATCCTGAGAAGGCCATTCAGCTGCCTTCAGTAAAATGGCCGCCATCCTCCCTTTGGAGAAATGGGCAGTGGCTAACTGAAGCAATCTTCCTAAACATACAGAATCCTAACAAATTCTCCAAATATTATATTTATATTAAAGATCAACTTCCCTTCCAGGCAGCCAAGTTTCTAGATCATTCTAGGAGAGCTTTATTTTTCTGCTTATAGGAAGGAAGACAGAGAACCACATGCACCACCCCCAACTGCACCATCTTCAACCCCACCCTCCATCTTGCAGCAGAACATCAGTCGTCATCAAATCATTGGGCCTGCCCACTGTCCCACTGCATCAGAAATGCCGCAGTCTGTGAAAATGTCATTGTTTTCATCCTCCATGTCTCAGCCCCAACCTTTCCACTGCAGTCCCCACAAAGGACAGGAACACAAGCACATGACAGAAATCCAGACCACACAGACCATCAACCCACAGCCCTGAGAATAACCCATGCCAGAGATGAGAAAAGATGTACTATTCTCAACCTGCCACTTCCCCAACTACCTTGCTGAAACAGAAATTAGAAAGTGAGCGCCCCAACTCAGTTCTAATCAACTCATTCAATTCTAATCAACTCATTCATGCACACCTGTCTTCCCTATTATAATTTGCTATTTCTCCAAAATGGCTCACTCCCTCCTAATTTAAATGACCAGCTCCGTTAAAGGGGTGAAAAGGTGGCCATTTGTAAGCTTGGAACTATCAAATACCCTGAGGTGAGACACATGTAAAGAATGGCCTAGGAGCAGGCCTGCAGAGCCAGACATCATCACTGCACCACAAACCACCCAGTCTCTGCTCCAGTCTACTAGGTGATGTCAGCATCCAGACTGCCTCCTAGACACCTGAATTTAGAGCCCCAGACTGCATTGCTTCCTAGAAATGACCTCTAAACTTCTAAAAAAAAAAAATTGCTTCGAGTTATATCAACCTCTTCTGAGCCTTCCCTCTACCATCTCTACTTCCTATATTCTCCTGTTTCCTTAATCAGACTATTTTCCTTCTCTCAGATTGCTTTCAACTTTTATAAATACCTGGCTCCTCGTCTGGGCTTGAGTCAGCATAGTATTCAGCCATCTTCCTGGATTTGCCGACCTCAGGCTCCAGCTCTGCGCAATTAGCTTAAACTGGCTCAAATGGATTTTAACTGGACAGAAATTGAAATTTTTTTCTTTGTCATAAAAGATCTAAAGTGATCAAGAGAAACTTCTGGCCATTTTCAATCCATTTGCTCCAGTTCACAGCGCTCACGCAGGAGTAAGGCACTGAGGGGCCCAGGATACATCAGGAATGAGATGAAGCTGCGTCAGTTCTGCTCAGAAGACCAGTGGGGGACAAAAAGGACCTGATGCTAAGGACCATACCATTAGTAATGGTGATGCTAGAGGGGGAATCAGAAAGAACCTAATAGTCCATGAGGTAGGATCAAACCACTGTGGACCCCGGGGGAGGGGCTAAAAGCCTGATGCTCAGTGACGCAGTATCTAATCATTCGTGTGAGACAGGAGGGGAAAGATGCTGATGCTTAGCAGATAGGAGCAAACCACTGCGGTGAACAGGGAACTGAGTGGGGATGCTTTAGTGTAAGGTACAATCAAACCACACCAGGTTATTAGCTAGATAACTAGGGGAAAATAAAAGCATAAAGGGCCTCATAATCTGTGAGACAGGAGCAGGCCACTCTGGAGGTTTAGTAGAAAGGATGCTGTTCTGAGAAGCAGGACCAAACCACTGGGGGAAAGGAGGGGAGCAAGAACGAGCTGAACTCTCTTCAAGCAAATTTCGTTTCCCCTACTGACATAAAGGACGATCCAACATTCTGTGAGACAGAATCAAATCCTGTTTCATGATTTATCATGGGTTCAACATACATTATCTCCTTTGCTCCTTACTCCGCCCTGATGGTTGAATCCAACCATCTTTCCACAAAAGCTTCTGCAAAAATTCTGAGCTATCCCTCAGGGTTGCTAGGCAACAGTGCAGCAGCTGCCCAAGGAACCTTGCCCTTTTGACATTAACCCCTTAGTTTCTGAAAAGAAAATAAGATGCATGAATAATGAGGAACAAGTTGAGGCAATTATCAACACATGCTAGACAAGAAGGAATGGATCATCTACAAAGACCTAACAAATATAAACATAGAAGTGAGTGGGTGAGAAATGATGGATGCATAGAAGAGGAAACATTTTGACACGGTGGCCATCATAAAGACTTGAAAGAGGAAAATCAATCCCTGGTCAGGCCTTAGAGTCTTCCTATGACATCCCTAAGCAGTGCCTTTTGAATATCTTTTCTATCTTTTTTTTTTAAGGTAGTGGTTGTAACTTCCTGGGAAACAAATCTCATTTTCCTGTAACTCTGGTTATCCCTTTTCTATTGGAGCCAAATATTCCCATTTTGGCCCCATAGTTTCTGTTCTGTCCTCTAGAGAAATGGTTAATAAAGGCAAACTAGAACTCCCAGGCCGTATCTACTGACTATTTTTGTGCCCCTAAGAATGGTTTTAACATTTTAAATAACCCCTTTTAAAGCAAAGCAAGGGTTGCAGTGCATGCTTCTTTGGTTATATGCACATAGGGTTGCGTTCCTGTCACAAAGGTAGAGTTGAATAGACACGTAGAAACCAGAAGTGTTCTCAAAATCATTAACATGCTGAATCTCATGAGGCCTGGTTTTTTAGCTGAGAAAGACAACTAGCCCTGTAACTTGATGGCCTTACACTTAGAAGATCACAAATAGTTTGGAGACTCTCTGTTAGCCCTTGCTCCACATCCACCTTCAGAGACCAGACAGCTAGGGAAGAGGGACCATGCAAGCAAGCTAGTTCTTTCTGGTACTGATGCTGCAAGGTCCTTAGCTCCCCATTGTGCCTGCCTTTATGGGCTGGGGCTAAATAACCTGGTCAGGAAGACAAGGCCCACAATGATGTCTGCCAGGCATCCAATCCCATTTTCCATGGCCTCTGTTGATCCTGGAGCCAACCTTCAGGCTGGACTCAACAGATTCAGGACGAAAATAGGCACTTGGCCGGGAAGGCTGGCTTTCCACAAAGTGCTCTTTCCCCCAATGGCCAAAGCAAACGCTGCAGGCTGGGGCTAACAGCCAGCCAGCCGCTCCCCGACCTCTGCCGGCCAGCACCAAGGAGGCCCAGAGTCAACAGTGTATGCACGGGTCTGCTATTTCATTCCTCCTTAATTACTCCGACATCAGATTTCCCTTCAGTGAATCTGAAAAACCAAATAGAACTGAAGTCAGCCCTCGCCTCTAGGAAAAAGTCAGAGATCATCCAAGAGCCTCAGCTTCAAAGATTCAGTCTCCTCAACCTCTCAGGTCACCTTCTGAAGCCTCAGTTTAAACTGGTTGCTTCTGTTTCCTTAAGGGAAGGAAGGATACATGCAGGAATGAGCTAACCTTGTACTCTGGCTGGCTCATGGGCCTAACAGAGAATCAAAACAGTCAGACCAATCATTCTTCCTGAATTAGGTAGCCAGTCTCCCCTCACTGTGAAGAGAGCTTGGGTAAGAGCCAGTATTCAGATACTGAGTGAGAAGAAGGACATGGAGAAAAGAAGAGAGGAGAAACAAAGGAAAAGGAGAGAAAGGCCAAGAAGAGACTAAAGAAAAACTTGCTTGCTTGGTTTTGTTCTGCAGTACTAAGGCTTGAACCCAGAGCCTCATAGACACTAGGCAAGTAGTTTACCACTAGAGTATACTTCTAGACATTCTTTTTCTTTTTATATTTAAAAAGGGTCTAAGTTGCCTAAGATGGCTCGGAACTCAGCCTGTAGCCCAGTCAAGCCTTGAATAATAATATAATACTGAACAATATATAAATTGAATATAATATATAATAAATATAAATGTGATCCTCCAGCCTCAGCCTCCAAAGTAGCTAGGATTATAGGCCTAGCAAAGGAAAGTATGTCCAACTAGTACATGAAATCTTTTTTTTAAAGCAATGGCTTGTGATCAATGGCTGACAGGGAGTGGAAGAGCAAACATAGAAAACGACAATGCATTAGTTATGAAATTTTCTCAACTGCTCCTGCAGAAACTAATCTAAAGAACCTCTTTCTCTAATGATAATAATAGACACCTCCCCATAACAACCAGTCTGTAATTAATGAGAAATGTGTTCCCAGCAATGTTTTATTTTTAAACTGGTCACCAACACACCCCAGGGTGACAGACAACTCACAAGGTTATTGTAAGATATTTTAAATTTTTGAGGGAAACATACAGCTCATAAACTAGCCCTGTTACCATTTTTTACACCTAATTGCTCAATAAACACACATGTGACATAGTTCTTTTCACTTAGGGGTACCATAAAGAAAATTACCAAGGCAATGAGAATACAATGAACCAAAAAGTACTGGGCAATTTGTATATGCACTGTGTGTATTATTTCATATAATCTCCAGCCATTATGAGGTAAGTTCTAATATTATTTTCATTTCTTAGATAAAGAAACTAGGGCTCCAAAAGATTAAATCATTTTCCCAGGGTATTCAGGCAAGTGAAAATGTTAGAGCACAGTTGTGGGAGACTCCAGAGCCTGTTTTCTTAACCTATCCACAAGACTACTCCTGCATAATTAGCTCCAGGTATGTTGAAGGAATGTCTTCAAAGGACAAAGTATGCTATGGGCTATAGAAATACTAGTACTATTCTAGAATAGAATTACCTGATTTGTAGGTCAACAAGGGTACTATTCGAGGTATAAGGAAAGAAGTACATTTATTTTTTGTTTTATTAGCATATATTTGTTGTACATAGCATTATGATGGGTTTAGTAAGGACAATTTCAAGTATATAAAGTACTCTAATTATATCCATTTCTGAACAATCTCTTTTCTTTGCCCTCTTCTCTTCCTCCTGCCAGTAGTCTCCTTTATGCCTTTATGTTATAGATATGGCCTTATGTGTCTATATATGATATAGGATACATGAATGAAAGGAAACATGCAACATTTGTCTGGCTCATTTCACTTAACATGATGATCTCAAGTGTAGTCCATTTCTAGCAAACAAAATAATTCTATTATTCATGGGTGGATAAAGCTCTATTATTCATATGTACCATATTCTCTTTATCTACTTATCTATCAACAGACTCTGAAGCTGACCCTGTAACTTAGCTATTGTGACTAGTGCCTCATAAACATGAATGGCAAGTATCTCTGTGATTTGTTGACTTAGAATCTTCTGAGTATATAGGCAGTGGTGGTACGGATGTTACTTTAAATTTTAATTGTCTTAAAGCATTTAAAATTAATTTTGTACTATAGTGAAAGAAGCAGTATATTTTACTGGATGGAATATAAAATAGCTCTAGTTGTCATTGATCTCTCCCGAAATAGAGACAAAAATCAAAACTAACCAAACAAAACACAGAAGAGTTGAGAGAACCATGAAAGAAAGGAACCAGTGTCATAGATGAATCAGTGTGCAGCCTGTCCAAACTCTGAGTTTTCCTGTCATGTGAGGAAAAAATCCTCAGCATTATTTTATGTCCATTTAAGTTGACTCTGACATCATTTGCAATCAAAACATCCTTTGTGGGAACTACTTTCCTAAACCACTGAGCACAATGTTCACTATGCCCATGCACACATAAGAACCTAGTTTCAGTGTCAACTATCCACAGAAGACTGATATGAACTACATAACACAATTTATTTCTCCATTCAATGAATATACATAGGCCATTATACACAATTTTACCATATATGGTGAGTTATTTATTTATAGTTACTTCTTTAACTATGCTATTTCCCACTGTATAGTGAATCTGTAGTGCCTTACAATGTGTCAGAAGACCCTCCAAAAACTGAAGACAAATGTTAATCATTCAGTTCCCCTGCCACTGGTGAGCAAAATGAAGCCAACAACCCCTATTCTTACTACAATTTCTGGTGGCCTGAGGGATTGAACTTTCAGCTCTAGGTGCATGTGGAATACCTATGGATGGCAAAGTTCAACCAACTAGACCACATCTAACACTCCACATCAAACGTGACAGAAGTCAGTGAAGAAACTGCTGGCAGGAATCATGGCCTCAGTGAAACCGGCATACAGATGGTAAAAGTAGCATGATGACTACCACAAATGTGGCCACCTAATTACAATCAGAGTACCCCAAAGACATTTCCAGGACGGCCCCCAAAACATACCAATCCAATCCTCTCTTCTGTCCTAGCTCCAAGAATGTAATTGTATCATAGAGTGAGACCTGTTTTGATAGCTGAAACCTCTGGCCATTTTTACACTCTGATGCCTCTCTGGGCAGTAGTTCCTTCCTTCTAAACACCA